AAAACATTTGACAAAAACACTTAAAAACCATTTTTATGCATGAAGTACTGTTTATTGATGCATATTATTTAAAATTCATTATTACAAATAAATTGTGTGTAAATACAACTTATTAAAGCTTCATGTTTGAATTCGTGTAACTAACTGCAGATAAATATAGTCAAATACAAGATAAACTTTTCATTTTAAATATAAAAAATCCGAAATATAGTAAAAATAATCATTAAGTTCTAACATAATACTTAATTATTATCCTTATAAAAAATTATATTATTAAATCAAAAATAAATTACTTCGTTATTAAATCGAAATTAAATTATAATAAGAATTTGAATTAAAAAAATTACACAAAAAAACAAAAACTTTTAAATAGTCAATTTGATACTAATATTTTTAAACTATAAATTTTCAACTAAATATTTTTAAACTATAAACTAGTAAATGTATTTTTTATATTCATTAAAATAAAATAAAATGTTTATATTGTATATAAATCAGTTATTTTAATTTAGAGGTCGTTTTTAAAAAACTTTGTATTTTGTGAGATTTGTGAGATCCAATTTAGATCACAAAAATTAATTTATAATAATAAAATCACCCCCACAGAGGCGATTTGCATGGTTATTTTCTTAAAATAAACTCTGAAAACTTATCATTTTATTAATGTAAAATGTATAAAATGATTATTTTTTGGTTAATATCCCTTTCTGAAAATATATGCATTGCTTTTTATTAAATAAATAATAATTATTATCTCATTAATTAATAATATGAATTATTTTATAAATCTCATAAATCTAGTAAGAGTTCAGAAATGATTAAGCCAAATATCGTATTAAGAGGCTGTTTGGCAGTTGCTGAATAGTTTGGTGTAAAATGATTAAGTGGTCAAAATGATTAAGAGGTTTTCATAATATAGTGCAAAATGAAATATAATTATTTGGTAATTATTTACAACAAAATTAGGGCGTTGAATGATTAAGAGAGACTCATGATACAAAACCATTAAGAGGGTTTTAAAATCATTAAGAAACACTTTTTCTTCGCCAAACAAGATTCATCTCTTAACGATTCAGACGTTGTCTCTTAATAGAATTATTAAAACATAATTATGAAAAACTTCCTTCTTTTTTAATATTGTTTTAATATAAAAAATTGAATAAACAATTTCTACCACATTCCCCATAAATACTATTTTATATAAGTTTTTTTTTTATTTAAGATTTATTGCCCACAAGCTAGGAATCTTCCAAATGAATGGCACAAATTTTAATGTCCCATAGATTTAAGAAGTCGGTTTGATCATTGTATTTAATTTTTCAATAAATTCCACTTTTGGTCCATGTGGTTTCAACGAAAATTCAAAAGTCATCCTTCTACTTTAACAAATATAAAAACAGTTCACATATTATCTACTGGTTTTAAAAGACTGAAACGAGCCTTTTATTTTAACTGAGAGTTTGTTAAGTGTATCGGGTCCCCCTTGCATGAGGGGCATTTCTGTCATTTTAAAGATTTTTGATAAATAAAAAAACCCTTTCTACCTGCATCCTCCCTTTCTTACTGGATTAAAGATCTAGCGGCAATACCATCCGTGACCAGCTATGTTGCCCTCTATCTCGACGTCCCTTCACTGTTGATTACTACCTCCACTTTCCTCCTTCACTCAAACTACTGTTAAATTGAGAATAACCACTAGATATGATCTGATCTGATCTGACGTACTCCTTTGTCTCTGGTGTTTCTCTTGTCTACCTCTCTTCTCTTTCAAACAACCACGACACATTGATGGCACGTATTTTTTTGCCGCCACTGTCCTTCTCAACTCCTATAAGTTCATTAAGGTAAAAACTTATAATGGCAAAGAAGATATGGTAAATTCCGAGTAATATCAAAACCAACAAAATCATAAACAAATTACGATTTAACAGTAAAAATTAAAGAGTGAAGATGGCGTGGTAAAACCAAATAAAAAGGCAAGAAAATTAGCAACCTGTATTTGATATTCAACAAAATTATAAACAAATCTTAAACCCCTTCACGATTTAGCAGTAGTTTGAAAACTCTCTCTCGTCGCCTCTGAAACCAGTTGGTTTAATGTTGCTATTATAACTTATCTACTGGTAACTCAAACCTTTCGAGAGGTCAATGATTTAAACATCACAAAAGACAGAATATTTTTGAGCGTTATTTACTATATATAAATATTATATACTTCAAAAACTTTTTTTGCAGTTAAAAATTTTCGATAACTTTGAAACAACAAATTAGAGGAGGGTACTTTACAAAAATTCCAGATAAATGAATATAAATCATTTATGTTTATAAAAAAAAGTTAATTATAAATGCTAATTGTTACAAAAAGCCATTAAATTTTTTTTGGATTGAATAATATTTATAATAATAGATATGTATTTAAAAAATTAATTGAAAAACTAACATAGTTGAAACAAATAAATCATTTCACATATCAACATGTATGAATGGGTGGATCCACGTGAGACCAGTCTGTTCTTGTGAGACTATTTTTTTACATTTGAAATTTCACAGCAAAACGTTGTAAAGGTAAAAAAAAGCCGAACATTCACAACGTTTTGTTGTGAAGTTTCAAGTGTAAAAAATGGTCCCACAAAAACATGTTGGTCTCATGTGATCACAAGTCTGTTCATATCTTCATTTGTTTTCAAATCCTTTATTCTTTTTGTCAATTTAACTTTGCGGGTGATATTATATACACCTTCTTTAATGTCAGAATTAGGTCAAATCATGCATCAAAAATGTAAAAAGTAAGTCTTGAATTTGATGTGTATGAAAAAAAAATTAGTAGATATTAATACATTTAACAATGTATAGGGTGCATTTAGCTAGATGACATTCTTTTGAGAATTCTCTAAATTGTAAGATTTTTTATAATTAGTGCATCATATGCTATTTTATATATATAAAAAAATCATCAATGACTAGAATTTAATGTAGTGATTAACATACATTTGTTTTAAAATATGTTTGTTTCACATAAACTCAGTTCATAATATGAACCTTTTTGCATGTTCGTGAAACAAAAAATACATGTAAATTTTTTAAATTGTAAACCAAATACATATGAAATAAACATGTTACAAAACAAATATATGTTAATCACTACATTAAATACTATACTTAAATAATAAAAAAATCACATCATACAAAATCTTAAAATATAATTTCTCAAATGATTAAACTCTATATTTAACCCACCCCTTAACTTTTTCGTCAACTTAAATAAGTTAAGGGGGTGTTTGGGATTGCTTATTTAAAACAACTTATGTTTTTTTTTTTTTTTGTAAAAGTGCTTATTAACTTATGTGGTATTAAACCGGAGTTAAATAAAACAAAGTTAAAATTGTAAACTACTAATAAGCAATTTTTCATAAGTCAGGAAGGATTAACTTATCAAAAACAACTTATTACCGGTTTGGCACCGGTATAAGCAGTTTTTTACTTCTTATCCAAACACTAGAAAACAACTTATCACCAGTATCAGACTGAAATAAGTTAAAAAGCAGCTTTTATAAGCAATCTCAAACACCCCCTAAATACACTAATTATGGAATATATTATTTTCGAAAATCATTATGAATAATCCACTAATTTACATCTGGCAAGCAAGAAACCGTGGAGTAGATAAGCCAGCATGAAGCCGCCTCATCATTTTTTTTCTTCTAGAAGCAGCCATTTTTTTTAAGAAAAACTTTTATTATTGCTATTTAAAATTAGTAAATTACAATTTTAGTCCCTGTGATTTAGAAAATGCTATTTCGGTTCGTATTGTTTGCAATTTTTTTTATTTTCATTCTTGGAGTAATTTCCACCTTTAAATACAAGGGATTAAAAAAGTAAAGTATCGTAAACTATAAGGATGGAATTGTAATTTTTAACAAACCGTAGGAACCAAAAAGGTAATTTACTCTTAAAACAAGTTTGAGATTGATTATTGATTAATGCGACATAAAAAAAATTAAGGAAAAAAATCGTATCTGATTATTTATAATGATTAATGATAAATTAAAGTGTAAATTGTATTTAAATAAAATATTTTTTTATATTTATAGTTTAGAAAAATATATGTTGTAAGTAAAATTGAAGCATTTTAAATATTTTTAAATTTAGATCTTTAAATTAATATTTTTAAACAATAAAACTCTAAATATATGTTTTAAATGCCGTAAACTCGTCCATGTGATATTGGTAAACTCTGGATATCGTTGCTACAGTTTTGAAGTTACACTCATGTTATTGTGGTTTGTGTTTCATTACAGATTGGGTCCCTTGCCCCGACGTTCGTTAGGAGGTGTCATTTAATGCTTTCCAAACATGCAATGCAAGTCAAGTCAAGGTATTTTAGTCATTTTACATGTTTTTAATTTAAAAAAAAAAAGATTAAGTGTACAAGTGTCTAAAACATAAATTCAAATATGTTTTAGACATTTGTACATGTAATCTTTTTTTAATCTTAAGTGTACAAGTGCACCACCCTTGTGGTTATTTTTTTTTCAAATGGATGTAGGTTTCATTTTCAAATCCAATAAGGAATAAAAATCTCTTTGTGGCCAGGAGGTTCAAATGCGGTGACTCCAGGCTACCGGCAAAATATGTGGTCGTTTTGAATTTAGTCGGCTCACATAGCAGGTCGGATATTCACGTTAATCCAAAAATAAAAATAATTAATCTATCAAAATTTAAAAGAAAATGAAAAAAAATACAATAATACCCCCATCAAAGCAATTTCTTAAGGACAACCGAAACAAATTGCAAACCACAATGGCCATCATTGTTAATAAATGAAAACCAAAAACTAAAACTAAAAAATGAAACAAACTATAGGGACTAAAATCGTAAATTACTCCAAAATCCAATCATTTTGTTAACCGTTGAAGCCGATGTTTTCAGGCCTCGTCTCCACGAGCCACGACCCTATATATATTCTCACATCTCACCCGCCTCCACTTGAAACATTTACAATTCATATCTCAACCACTCTCCCACTTTTTCTCTCTTTAAAATATCACCCATAAACTGAACATAGACTTCATCTCCGGTCGCCGGCACCGGCAGCAGCAAACATGAGCTCAATAGTATCTGTATCACCGAGTTTCGGCAGCAATTCATTCAACAACCTTGTGGATATTGCCGATAGGGTTGTTCAAGAACTTCGCACCGAAAATGGCTTCGACGACGACGATTTCTTCGACTTCAGTAGTGACGATAATCGGCCTGATATTGGCGGTGACGACGACGATGTAAACAGTAATACTCGTACGGAAAAGGTGGAGGAAAATGATCCTTATGAAGATGAACAAGAGTTTGAGTTTCCTGTTGTCTGTGGAGAATCTGATTCGTCTCCGATTTCAATGGATCATGAGGTAATATCCGAGAGTCAGATCTTGCCGCGGTATCCACTATTCGATAGAAGTTTGTTGTTAGACGTTGATCCTGATTTCAGTAACGCTGTTGGTTGTTCGGAGATTGAGTCGACGCCGTCTCCGGTGGCACGGCTTTCTCTGAAGAAGCTTTTCAGCGAAGAGCGCGATTCTGCGTCGTCTTCGTCGTCGGAGGCGGATGATCTAGACAGAATCACGCCTGGATCGTACTGTGTCTGGAAGCCAAACACCGAATCGCGTGGAAATCATAAAAAGAGCTATTCCATCGGTAATAATATATCGAAGCGATGGAAGGTTCGAGATCTACTCAAGCGAAGCTACAGTGACGACAACTATTCCACCGGCAAGGATACGCCGGTTGTCCTTTTCACTCCTCCTATTACGACGAAGCAGAACACTAACAACGAAAAGGTAAAGAAGATCGAGAAAACTGCTAAAGTTGTCTCTGCAGTCGGTATGATTTCATCATCTACTAAGACGGAAAATAACATTCCGGTTCATAAATCAAAGGCCGGAGGTACTCGTCGGCCGCCGTATTATCCGTACCGGCAAGATCAGGTTGGTGTATTTGCTCATTTCAACGGATCGAGCAGAAATCTCTACCGCTATTAAAACGTATGTTTATTAATTTACATATTAATTTCTTCTCGTGAGAAACTTTATCTCTTTGTTAATTAGGTTTTGCGGTCATGAAATTTTGAGTGTAAATCTTCGGTTGATCAGGTGGTGTGTTTCATTTTGGTTAATTACACTTGTCTTTTTCAACTCTTTGCTTCTTCAAATCTCTAAACCTCTACAAACTTCTTTGAGAAAACCATCTGAGAAATGGATTTTTTATTTACTCCACTACTAAAACTTGATTTAATATTATTTTATGTAATTTTTAAAAAGTATATCAATATCATAAAATTATATAATATTTAAATATTATAATTGATGATGAAATTTGTAAAATAAAAAACCTATTAAATTGATTGTAATTTAATTTTTAAAAAGAGAAAGAAAAAAAAAGACAAAATGGTTAAAATGATCATTGATTTAACGGAGTTAAAGAAGCGTTTCAAAAAAATTGAATACCGCAAGAAGCAAAACCATGATAAACATATCATAGAGATCCTAGTAAAAAATATTAAAATACAGGGACTAAATCCATAATTTACTCTCAGGAAAGTTATAAAAAATCTGTTAAAGATGCTCAATAATTAGCAAATCAAAATTTTAATCAAAATTGAAAAAATTGACTTTAAAAGTCGTGGATTAGGTATACTTATTCCACTGCAACGATTACGTACACAAAAAATTAGTATTTTTTAAGGAAAAATTGAGTTCTTTAAAACGGAAAAAATAAAGAATTTAGAGATTTTGGATGACGTTTTTGTTCTAATAAATCTAATAAAATCTTCAATTATAATTGATTTAAGAGAGAAGATTTGTCCAATTCTTACCATTTTCATTACGACTCTCATTCTGATCAGAACTCAACCCTTATCAAACAACTGTCAAATAGTTATCGATGTATATTCTATAATAACTTGAGATTATAATTTTTCACTTGTAACTCAAATTAAGATGAGTTTTTTTCATTTATATAAAAAGATTTGAAGATGATCAAAGCAGCAATCATTAAATTGTTGTATGAGTATTTGTGGATACATCTAAAATCAAATAGAAAAAAAAATAAAAAATAAAAAATAAAATATGTATTGGATAAGATTATTAATTAGTTCTTGAGTTTGGATTCTCATGTTTAGTTTGAAAATATATTGAAAATGGATGGATATTCTAGAAAGGGAAAAGTGAAAGAAAAATTGAACAATTTTTTTATTTTGAATGGTTTTGGTTTTAAATTACTTTTTTTAATAAAAAAACCATTAAAGTTTTCCATTTTAAATGACCAGGGGCTGTTTAACAAACACTTACTTGGGTAAGTGAACAACAAGTCTCATTACCTTATCGGAAGAATATGGTAAGGATAAAAAATCTTACCCGGTAAGAGCGAGACAAAGACCAAGGGTCTTACCACGGTAAGCGCTTACCGGGTAAATTGTTGCGTACGATATCGTTTTGATGGACTAAAATCTTACATAGTAAGTAAATAATAGTGTTAAATTTACCCGTAAACGCTTACTGGATAAGTGTTTGGTAACGACCCCTAAGATCTTGAATTATTTTTTTAAATGAAAAAAAACATTAAACTTTATCTTTTTAAACGAAAAACCCATTTTTTTTTAATTTTGATTGATTAAGTTCTTGAATATTTTTTAATAGATAAACCATCATACTTTTAAAAATTGGTTACCTACATTTTTCTAACCCGAAAAAAGTTACATTAACCAACTAGTCTAGATTCGGTGGTTTGTTTTTGTATTTAAAAAAATTTAGGATCTTAATCAATCAAAATGTAAAATTTTAATTATTTTTTTATAAAAAAAAATAATCCAGAAATTTAATCATTTAAAATAAAAAAGTTTAATATTTTTTTTTATTTAAAAAATAGAAAATTTATTGGTTTTTAAAAAAAAATTTGCCATTAGAAAAGAGAAACACCATTTTTCTAGAACATATCAATATCAAACATATTTTTAATATAAAAGGTTTCTTGAGCATTAGAACTCTAATTACCCTTTTTCAAATCACCATGTAATCCAATGTTCATGAGACACGTCACATTTTTTTAAAACTAAATTCCACCCAAAAAAATGCTTTATAAACAGCGTTCTAAAAAACTCGTCATATATTTGTCGTAGCGTTCTATAGTTTAAAGTTTGTGTTCGATACAACGTTAAGCATGCGACAACAATTTTGAAAGCACGGGTTTATAAGCATAAAATTGGTTTTTCTTATTTTCCGATGTCTTATTTTGTTAATATATAGTATATAACCTAATTTAAAAATCAAAAGGTCTTTGACTTAGCAGTATATGAGTCATTGGTCTTCTAGGAGGTCAAAAGTTCAAAATCATCAAAGGTAAGGAGGGTGTGCGAGTTTATTTGTTCTATTTATCGTATTAAATATTATATACTTAAAAAAACCTGATTTAAAAGTATTTAATATCATTAACTCATTAAGCTATACTCGAAAACATGTGTATGCATATAATTATACATCTGATATACAGATTTCACATTGTATATCATGCTTTGAAAATCGACGTGGTCTTTTCGTGACTTTTAAAGCTTGAGGCTTGAACTTGTCGCCATGCTACGACTCATATCATCAGGGCCTTGTCGAAGGATGTTCCAATGTGTTATATGTAATAGGCCCCCTGTATTTTAAATCTATCCAATTATACCATCTAGAAGATTGATTTCATTTAATGGGCATGAAGTAGAAGGCACTCTGGTGGGATCCTCACGCACATGTAGTCAGTTTGAACATTTGTCAAATGTGTCGATATCAATGGTGACTCAGTATTTTGATCTCGGACAAAAGATTATGGAATCACTTACTCGAAAATCTCACTTATTGGATTCCAGTGTGGAAGATGTTTAGATATTACTTTGTCATTTTAAAACATTTTTGTTGTTTTCATTTGTAAAACAGTTGATATAATGTAGGGCAAATTGCATGAAAAAATAATATACTTTAACTTGATTCCTATTTTGGGAAACGTACTTTCAAAACTTTTATTTTGGTACCTAAGATGTATAAAGTTTTAAACATTTAAATACCCGGGTAACTAGTTGAAGACTAATTTTATATTAAAGAAAAAAGACTAATTTTAGATTAAAAAACTAACCACGTCAGCAAATGATACTGAGTTGGATACCACATTCACTCATCAGCATGATAACCGATTAATGCTTCGACCGGTTATCCGAGTACTTACACGTTTAAAACTTTACATCTTAGGTACCAAAACGAAAGTTATGAAAATACGTTACCCAAAATAGGAATCAAGTTAAATACGTTATTTTTTCATGCAATTTGCGCTATAATGTATGGTATGAACTTTTTATATTAATACTTCGACCGGTTATCCGAGTACTTACATGCTTAAAACTTTACTTCTTAGGTATCAAAATGAAAGTTTTGAAAATACGTTACTCAAAATAGGAATCAAGTTAAAGTACGTTACTTTTTCATACAATTTGTCATATAATATATGATATAAACTTTTTATTACGTTTAATTTATCGTCAGTCTTTTCGACCTATATTCTGTAATCTTGATACATGTGTAACAGAGTTTCTAAAAAGACTAAGTGTTGGTACACGTTATTTACATCATTGATTATAAAAACAATAAACCTATAAGACTTGTCAGATAAAATTAAAATTATATTATCAGACACTTGCAGTATATTTTTATTTATTAATAATAATAATTATAATTTAAATTAAATAATACAATTTTAGAAAAAACTGAAAAGCGGCAGATTATAAAAATAAAAGGGACAGCGGAATATTTGTTTTTATTTTAAATAATTAATTATTTAATTATCCACGCTGGTAATAAAATATTACTGACGTGGCTATCTTTGCGAGCTAAAAGTACTAGAAGTGATTTGGAGTTTTGTGGCTTAAATATATAAATAAAAAATATATTAAAAAAATAAAATTAGTTAAAATAGTCATTTCTCTTACATAAACTGATTTGTTAATTATTCATTTCTCTGATTTTCTTAAATATTACTATCTTCGTAAGTCACACGTTCGTCACTTGTAGACCTAACCAGAAAATATAAAATTGTAGATCTGACCATCATAATTGCATATTTGACCGTCGTAATTGTGGATCTGGTTGTCGTGATTGTGAACCTGGGTCAAATCTGATATATTTTTTTTGTTTTTTAGTTGAGTCTGCAAGTGGCGTAGAGACTTGCGAACGTAGTGATATTTGGGTAAATGATCGACGGAAATGACTAGAAGACCAATTTATATGAGAGAAATGACTATTTTGACCAATCTCCCTTAAAAAAATATTCGGTGGCTCAGTGGGTAAAAAGGGAGGACGAATTTATCCAAATACAAGACGGATCTTGGGTCACCTTCTTCTATTATCAATGATGGACCTAGGATTTTTGTCTAATCAGTGCATCTTTAAGGTGAATCAAAGGCATGTAAAGTCGTCCGATGTGTTTTCAGTTGGATTCCATCATTTCGAGGGATTTTTAAAGCTGTTTGGTTGAATTCGAGGGTTCTTAAAGTTTTCTTTTTGTTGATTTCGATGAACTTTTTTTGGTTTTTTGGTTGATTTCGAGAGACTTTTTCGGTTTTTCAATTGATGTTTCTTGTATTTTCTAATATCCAAGACCACTCCTCAAAGTTTAGCGAGTGCACCTTTTTATACCAAAAGAAATTCTACTTGCAGAAATCAGTTGAGTGGGTGCATGGAACTCCGCTCAACTCTTCATAGGGCCGCCACTTCCCCTTCTGCTAGTCTCAGGCGTTGAGTGAGCCAAAAAAATGTTCCCTCACATTGGGATACTTGAAGACAGGGTCGTGTGTGACTGCTGGTTGGGGTTGTCAACGACCAAATTTATGCTCAAATAAATAGCAATTACAGAAATGGGACAATATAAAAACCTTTTGGGAAGACAAATAATCGGATTAATACTGATTGTTATAATTTAAAGTCGTAAAATTTAATTAAATCTGATAATAATAAAGAGATAAAAAGTTGTTATAACAAGAATGCTTTATTAATAATTTTAAATCTAAAAGTTTCTTAATTTCTTATTATTAGAAGTTGCAACAGTTATTTTAACTACGTTCTTATCATACCTGATTTAAGACAAAAATTTAATGAAGTTAGTTTTAGAG